GTGCCTGACATTATGAATGCTTGCACCCAAGAAAATACAATGCATTGGAATTTTGGTAATCATGATAGACATCATACATGAAAAGAGGAATGCAGATGGGCTCACATTGCCTCAGCTAACTGCTTGGACGTGCCCGTCCAACAACTCATTGGACCGGCCTGCCCAAGCAGTTCTTGTCCGACAAGTCTTTGAGCTGACTTGTCCGAGCTGTTGATGGGCGGAACTATCTGCTCAGACAGGCGAGTCCGACCTCTTGTTGGACAATCATGTCCAAGAACTGCTCGGACAGGCCGGTACAAGGATTTGTTGGGCTGGCCAACCCAACCAAATAGTTTGCGCAGTGTCATAATTTTCACTTAAGGTTTCTTCACATGAAGCACATGATGTGTGTGTAGAAATGTAAAAAAGTCAGCATCAGGTGTCAACACTCTTTTTATTCTAACTGGAATCAACTTGATTCTCCAAAATAATTTTGGTTTGTTTCCAAATGAATAGATGATCCTAGACAGGGCAAACCATGAGCTCAGGTCAATTTGATTATCTTTAAGCCAATGAAATGATTTAGGCCCCATTTGGAAAAACTTGTTATATGTCATAAATTTTAAGGTTTGGTGTGGAATTGTGTTATATATATTTATGTCAATATATACAGGTTGCACAATTTGGTGCTGAACCTTAAAATTTATAACATATCACGCGGTGTCCAAATGGGGCCTTAGTTCTTTCCATTAATTTTGCTAAATTTAAGTTTACTTTATTCAATACACATATTTCAACTTGAACCACAGTTGTTTTGTGGGAAAAATTTTATCTTGTTAAAGCTACCTTGATCATTGTACTGGCTCTTTCTTTACTCAATCAATTGTTTCTATCAAACCAACTTGCCATTTTGTCACTAACTTTCAATCACTTTAGGTTTGTGATTTTCTGGTCAAACTAAGTGTTACTTGTTTAGTTACTTATATAAACTTCACATTTAACGCTTTTGGTTAACCCCAAGTCCATCATGTGAGAGGTAGGCTAAATTTTTACAGAAATCATATCCACTTTCTGCTCTATTATAAGAAGATAGTTGACAATGATACAGAGCTCACCCCCATGAAGGAAGTAGGCTATGTTTTAACAGACATAATATTCAGTTGCTGATTTATCAGAAGATAGTTGAAAATTTTCAGAACTCACCCCCGTCAATTGAAAACGTGTTGATATATTCAGACTTTGAATCAAACAAAGTTGAAACTTACAGAAATAATTATGAGTGACAGTTGATTTCCATGTGAGGTGGCTGTGGGAAGATGATGATTTGTTGGAGATGGCCTCTCAATTTTGAGGATAAATTAAACCTGAATGTAAATCAGCACAGCCACTTCAATATCTATTTCATCTATATAAAAGCCCAAATCATATTGTGTTTCACCTCAAAATACCAAACTGAACAGATTAGGGTTGTTGGAATCCAATTGGTGACATGTTAAAATCAAACATGAAGCAATTCAAAAAAGTGAATATTCAGTGATATTTTTTGTTTGAAAGCTTATTTATCAGTGTTCATGAATGAAAAACAATCATTTTCCCCCATGATTATAATCACAACTCAAAACTCTACTGTGCATGTATGCACAAACCCTCACAAAACTAATTGTGTCTACAGCTATCTACCACATGATCATTTATCAGACTGCTGAACCACAAAACACATTTTTTTTCCTGTGGAATGTGCAGTACAGACTTTTTTTCAAAAAAAGATTATTTACCACACTTGTTTTGAATTGTCGCAGGTCCAGATTTCTCAAAACTTTCCCAGCCCCTCCTCACTCTTATCAGACTCAAGTCCAATTTCCTGCAAATGTGGTTGTTTTGGGGTTAGGTGCCAATCAGATATTCATATCATTATCAAATTAGCCTTTGGTTAAGTTTCACTAATTATAACTGACACAAACCAACATGAAACAGAATGCAATCTAGAACTCAGTCTCTTGGAATTGTCAACAATCAATTCCTCAATATAAATATCTGCCTTGTAGAAGTATTATCCCACCTTCATTCCAAAACAAACAACCTGTATCTTTTTGATATATTCCAGTGGTTCAGTATCTTGATATTTTCTTGAATAAATGATGTTATTTTTTATATTTGTGGCCACTATGGTAAGGTATTCCTCTGTCCTGTTTGAAAGATTCATTGGACTTTCAAATCAATACTAATCATTTTTTCCATGAAATTAAAGCTTCTTCAAGCAATAGTTCCAACACCAACAATCCATTCTTCCAGTCAAATTGGTAAATTAGTATCTGAGTTTTTTTCTGGATAATAATCCAAGACAAAAAAAACTAAATATATATGGGTGGCCTATTATAAACTTAACAGCTTCTGGCACTGAAATTGTTTCACATAAATCCAGTCATGAACTCACAAAGTGTATGGAAAGAAATGTGAGTCATTTGCTTGTTGCCTTATTTGATGAAAGAGGGTAAGAAATCTCATGTATCCATTCAATAATGGGTTATTAACAACTTTAGGAGAACTGTGCAATTTGCCAGGATCCTTTAAGTGGATTAACATTACACTGGCCTGGATGCCTGCATCCTTTTCATTGTCAATGTGTGTATGATTGGAGAAGTAATGAATTAACAGGTGCAACTGCTGTATGCCCACTTTGTAAAAGACTTGATACAAATTTGGTAGCAGAAATGGAGAAATCTATGCAAAGAGCCAAAGACAAAAGTTACGGCATAAGAATAAATGTAAGCAATATCCTTGCATTGAAGTTAGAAAAACAAATTTGTTCCCAATTGATGTATCTGGTGTTACCCAGTCAGATGAAGGTTCATCATCACATACCTGTCGCCGGTGTGGTTCAAGAGAAATAAAGCCAGTTTTTGGCCCACCAATCCCAGGAAAATTAGAATTACGTTGTGAGAAATGTGATCGTTGTTTTTCGGTCTCACACTGGGGAATATAGAATTCATGAATTTATCTGGAATAGCCCCAAGTGAAACCTTTACAACACCTGCACTACGAGAAGTAACCATAAAATTTCTTGCACAGATTTTGCCAGCAATTTTTTCATGATTTTTTTGTGTTAAATATTGGTTAACATTTCACAATTGTTTACTTTCATTCTCTATAAATTCAAGGAAAGTTCATCCTTGAATCTATAAATTCTCAACAATACAAGAAGATTTTCATCCCTGGTCTCTTATAATGTGAAATAGATTTGAAAGGGTTTTTGATCAAACTTTTAATCACAACATTTATTGAGTGGAAGATAACCTCACCTCAACACTTGACAGTGGAGGAGTTTGCTCCTTATGAATGTAAAGGAAAACAGTGGAATGAGTTCACTGTGCCTGAGAAATGAGAATACAAGACAATTAGATTGTAACTATTCTATAAAGTTAAGAGTTAAATCTTATAGACTAGTGATAATAATAAAGGAAAATTTACACTAGTTGTATTTAAAAATGGACTACTAAAAAGCCCCACTCACTATTTATATGTAAAATAGTAAAGTACTTGGTTTTGTATGGTAATAATTTTCTGGGGGATGAATCTCAGGGAAAGACCCATCCCCTTGAATTTTACAGAGCAGGGGTGAAATCCTGCTGGGACCGGTGCAGTCCCCTTATTTTTACTCTATTCCCTTGGGGGAAAGTGTCAAGATATTCAAAGCATGCTAAACGTACGTGTGTTGAATATCTCTCTTATTTCAGAATATATACAAGAGATATAAGCAAGATAATACTATACACAAGAGAGATAAACATGATAATAATCTCTTGGATACACACAAGACATAATTATCATTTAAAACTTGATTATAAATTTCATGAGAGTGGTAAATTGTTCAAGAGGTAAATCTTTATTAATTTACAGAATACTTATTAACTAAAATGATATGTATAATAAAGAATGACATGAATATATAATTATTAAATTAAAAATTACATATGATACTCAATAGTATTTATTATTATGTAACCCAGAACGGGTTACATTCTTTGTAGACACCTGGGCTAGTGTCTCAGTGTCTGACAAAGATTGAAGCAATTCATTAATGAATTTTTCTAACTGAAATCTCAAGGTTTCAGATAACAAAAGCTTGTTTTTTTTTTTCAGTCAATGCCTGCACAAAACAATCAATGATCTAGATATTGATAAATATGTCATTATTGAAATCTTATCATAATTATTCAGATGTTCAATCAATTGGATAAACAAAAACAATTAAACAAATTTTGTCTCAGTCCATTTAACCCATAAATGTTATAGTTATATAAAATCTACTGTACTAGGATCTTCTCAGATATAAATTTTTAGCTTGAATTCTTCAATAGTAGATAGGCATATTTGGTGTTGGGAATAGATCTCACAAACAATATCCAGTTATACTGGTCATTGGGCTTGATTATTTCACAAAGCCTGATGATCTGTGCTAAAAAGGGTGGACACTTGTGGGTACCTGCCTCTGCAGGTGCAGGTGCAGGTGTGGGTGTCCAGTTTGGGCAAAATTTGAGTCAGGTACCCACCCACACCACAGGAGCCCAGGTGCAAATTGCCATCTCTAGACCAATACATATCAGTCTGAGTGGTTGGGAAAAGAATGATATTTCCTTCTCCCAACACCTCAGACCAATTTGTATTGGTCTGATGGGGAATGAGCTAACTTAACTAAGTCCCTCTCATCGGAGGGGGGACGCCGTCCCGCAGGGACCCTCCGAAGGAGGGACTTATGCGCCAAGTCGTCCCTGCAGCCCAAGAGAGTTAGATTTTTTTTACCTTTTTTTGGATTGCATTTGACAGGTCTGTCAGACCTTTTCTGAGTACAAAGTCGCCCACCAAACGGAGGGGCTTTTCCATGAGGATCCCACACTCAGGTTCATGAGCTTGCGGGGTTGCTTGAGTTCGGTCAAATGAGCCTTTTGTAATTGCATTGACCTGGGGCCGTTTTTAGCAGGCTCCGGTACTGGGTGCCTCCTGTTGTGTACGAGACATTCCACATGGAATACTGTGATGGTCCTGAAATTCTAAATGGGAAGTCATGGGTGCCTCTCTCATTGAAACCCATAATATGGAGTTCCAATCCAATACAGGCCACTCACATTGAAGACACTGGAACTCTTCGAAATACACATGACCCAATCCTCCAGGTCAAAAACTTGGATCCTGCGATTCCTCATCAAGCTGATGAGTTGGAGGCTCATGGAGCCGGCCCGAAGATAGCGACGGCCAAGGTGGTCAAGAAAATCGGCAATAGAGCAAAATTCTATCGTAGCGTTTTGTGTGAGAATCATTACAAAAAACTGCCTGCCAAAATTCCTAATGCTCTTGGGCCGCGGGGTTGGCTTGAGACGTAAGTCCCTCCCTCCGGTCGGCGCAATGCAACCAGTGGTTTACCACTCCGACCAAAGGAGGGCAGGGACTTATATAAGTTAGGGGAATGAGTGGAGAAAGAAATGTGCCCCTCCTTGTAAGCCCTGCTCCTCACAGGCTTACACAAACCTGTCACAAGATTACATAAGCCATTTCTGCTTTGTATTTAGCCACATCTGTCCCCTTTACCTAGACAGCAGAGATCTTTCTCTCCTGTCTAGGTGAGTACCTTATCTTCTCTCCTCCTCTTCTCATTTCATTTCCTCATTTTCCTCCACTTGTAGATACTAACAAGAGATCTTTCTCTCCTGTCTAGACTGAAATAAAAGACACGTTGGTACTAGAATCTTCTCCGTGGACGCTATTGAGCTCCTTTTCTAGTGCCTCTCCGACAGACAGTGAAGGACTCGATGGAGTCCTTACACTCCTCCCAGCACCTTGGTCTGAAGGAAAATGGGAAGATGATTTTCAGGCAGTATTGGGCCAAGAGGGCATGGGAGGAGGCAAAATGACTTCCTCTCATCCCCCTTGGACTACAGTCAATTTTACACTCACATGCATTGCCTGGAATCTCATATATATAAATATGCATGTCAATCCCATCTGTATACATTCAAGTGAGTATGATTGCTTATGCATCATTCTTTCAAAGATTATTTAGGCTGATGATTTTGTCAATTGACTTCTCAATTCTTTTGCTTTCAAGACATTAATATGTATTCTGATTGAGTTGTTTATTTTTCTTTCTCTATATATTACAATACCCCAGAAAAAGTAGGAGAGCAGATGCAGACTAGGTTCAAGTCTTCTCTTTTTTTTTTTTGGTTGTCAAGTGATTTTGATAAATAATCAGAGAGGAATAATTTTTTACTGGAAAGAGTGATCTGTAGACAGACTAAGTTGGATTTGTTTGGAGGAAAATCGTGATTTGTTTGTGATTGAAGACAATTTCGATGGGACTCAAAATATCCCACATCGAGTGAAACGAGAAGCAAGCTTTCTTAGCCCAACAAGATTGGACAAAGTCGAATAGTCTATCGGATAGAGGAGCTTTGAAGTGCCGCCGTCGAACCCCATCGAAGGCTGTGACATGTTCCAAAGCTTGAAAATTGTGAAGCTCTGGCTGTTCGGAAAGGATCACATCGAATTGATGACTGGATTCTGTGATGTTGGCCAGCTTGTCATACCGCCATAGACGGCCTTTGGTTGTCAACGGATAGTTTTGAGCTCCATCCAGGTCGTTCAGTTGGAGAAAGCGTGATCCACCCGTTTGGGACACTAAATTGTCCAGATGGATGTTGAGTTCTGATAGATCCACATTATCACTCCATTAGTAAATATTACCAGCCTAAAGCGCATCGGATTATACATGCCTTGGATGGGTCGAAGATCTTCCAGAGAGTGCAATGCCATCATGGCTGCTCCTCCAGGATAGTTGTGCATTGAGAGATAAGTTGTAAACGCCATGTTCAGCGCAGCGACCACCCCAATGAGTGACATTAATCCCAACTTGATCCATCTTGAGTGACGAAAAGGGCTGGTTCTATTCAAGACGAAAAAGTCAAAATCAATATTCAATGTGAGTGATTAGTGAAAGTTTTAAGGTGCTCAGATGATTTGAATGTTTTTCCTTGGACTTACATACGATGAACGCAAATTGAAGTGGAAAGATTCCAAACTGGGACGATGTAAATGATGAATCTAGTCTCCTTATGACCCAGACAAGACATCGCGACCACAAACACTAAGGTGCACGCGCCCAGGAGGAATACCTTTCGATTCAACACGAATCCTAGGAGTGCCAGTGGGTAAGTGATTCCTAGGAGCTTGGGTAGCGAAGATGTCAAGTAAAAGTGCCATGGCATAACCTAATATGAAAAGCGCGATGTGACATGGTTCTCAATCCAGCTTGATCCATTCGGTTTAACAAGTTCATGGGAAACTCACACCCCATTCAGCCGATTTGCCTTCAAGTACGTTGAAAATTAAAGAGGCGCCTTCTGGCCAAGTCAACTTTTGCCAAAAGTAAGAATCGATAGGCAGGGTCATTTCTGAGGATGACATGCAGTAGAAGGAGTCGGATGAAGAAGAAGAAAATCTTGAGTGATTTTCATATGATCAGAGTTAAATCAGCCCAAAGAAGATCGATCACTGACCTAGCCCAGCAAAAGTAACCAGAAATCCTCGACTCACAAGCTGCCAGAAGGTGACCCGCTTAGATATCAAACTTAGTAGGACGATCGGTGCCAAGAGAGCCACTAATTCCAGTCGGAAAATTACTGCGGCAATCGTTAGAAACGAGCATGCATTTAATGTCCCTTGTTTTCGCGCCGAGTTCGTTTTGCCTCTCTTCATGGTAATCATATATTGCCCTAATGCGATTTGAACTGTGTGGTTGATTAAAGCAAAACCAAATATAATTGTCAACGCGATTTTCCTCTTTTGAAGCCTTCTCATTTCTCGGTAATATTGCAATTTTAATAATGGATGTGAGAATAAATCGATCGAATGTAGAAAAGAAGACAGAGCGGACCGAATGGGAAGGCGAACATGTTGGGCAATGTGCGACTTGCGTAAAAAGCGAGATGGAATTGAGAGGCGGAGAGTAAGAGCATGGAGATTGAGACGAGGTCGCCGAAGACGAATCTGGCACAGAGGCCGAAGTAGACCAATGAGCTCGAGTTCAAGATAGCAAGGAGAGCTCGGACGAAGATTTGTTCTGCAAATTTGGAATGTACGAGGCCTATGAATCTGAGGATCGGGAGTAAGGCTCTTGAGACGCCGCCAATCAGTAGTGCGCCGATGAATGTCCGAGGAAGTGGTCCAGGGAATTGGAGATGGTCTCCGGCATGAGCGACGGCCGAAAGGTTGGGTTGATGGATAAAGTCGTGGATCGCATGGAGGTTGAAGGATTCCTCTACTTTGGTGAATGGAGATAAGAACAGCTGAACGAAGGTGGATATGAACACGATGAGGGCAGCACTGATGACGAGCATGATGGCTGCACCAGATATACGCTAGCCACCGATCAAACAGTTTCCTGCTCGAACCGAGATGGCAGAAAGACAAGCAAGTGGTCATTAGCAAGCCCAAGAGAAGAACGAGAAGCGAGATGAAAGCGATGAGATCATGAGGGACTTTACTCTTTCCTCCTTCGATTGGTTCCCGGTCGATTCAACTTGTAGCCGGTTGCGCTTCATGGGCCATCGACTTCATCGGGGCGCATACATCCAAGTAGCGGAGTACAGGTCGCTCTGACGGCCGCGCATCTCCTCCCCTGTTCACAGCGACTTCCCAAGGCACTGTTATCTCTTCACCCACCTTCCTTCAACGACTGTAACACCCAAGTTATCATTCATCCATGCCTCAAGAATGGAGAGGGACTCGGCAAGTGTGAACAATCACTGCTTCAAGGCAGGTACACTACTGTTCATCCACTTTTGTTTCCTACTTTCTCCTGCAGCAGCCTCCGCAATCCTTGTAGCATAAACATAACACAAATCATGCTCTTCACTATTCTATTGGCAAATAAAAAATTGAAAGAAATCGTCGTAAGACAGTTGGACCGACAGAGCAAAGGTTTATTTATCATCCTAATGTTTTTACAGTGAAACTATATAGACAAAATGTCTGGCTTATCTTATTTTACAAGAAGGGGAAAGATTGGTCATAAATGAAATGGGCAGTTTGTTTGATAGCAGATTGGGTAGTCATGTTTGAAGCAATGCAGCCACTGTCTCAATCAAAAATGGGGTTTGACTTATTTGAGAGAAAAAGTATGAACTTGAAGGTAAACCAGTCAAAGATCTGATTAACATTGTGAATCAGTTCTGAGACTTTTTGCCTATGCTACAGGTATTTTTAACAATGGTTGTGGAAGTTATATTTTTCTTGGGCTGGGCAATTTAGACAGTTATGAAAAAGATTGATCAGCACCAGTTGCTCAGAATGGGAATTCAAGTATTACTAATTATTAAAAAAAAGTACTTGACTCACATCGGTATAGGAGAACTTTTTGTCATTACAGCAATAGGGAGTAGTCCCAGATTGTTCATTGCAATCAAACGTGATCGGGGGCTTGGTGGACTTTCGAGCATAGAGCACTGCAAAAAAGAAGGAATACAAGTACTGTCAGTATGTCTTCAAACTAATTTTGCAGTACTGCAACTAATTCTTCACTGACTGTAGAAAATTGCCTGCTGCTTAATTTCAAGCCCACAGTACCCGCTTTGCCCAGTTGCACAAGGGAAAACTGAACCTCGGTAGGTCGACGGATCGTTCATGTCTCCAATGACATGGTGCACTGCCAGACTTTGGCTGAGCAAAAGGAGGAGGAATGATTTAGGAGTCTGCATTGTTCTTTCCCTGAGCAGGTCGGAGATGTTGGAAAACACAGAAGGTACTAATTGTAATCTGAAGAAAAAGTGAGCTTTTTGCCTGGGCTTTACGTGTGGGCTGAGCCTGATGGTGCGGTTGAACACAAATTCTTATAGCCATGGGACTGCTTCTTTTATAGTGTTGGAGGGACAGTAAACGTCAAGCTACATAACACTTTTTTTCTTGAAATTGCAGTGCACCATGATCAATTGGTAACTAAGCACTGCCCCAAGCTTTCGTGAGCGAAATCTCCGTCTGATGTCACTATCCTCGACTGAAAGCCTCGTCAAAACCAGTCGAAACACTCCCACAGAATCTAAGCAAATAATCGAATCAACAATCTGGGTTGGCAGCGTCCTCGAGGCGATCCTCATGATTGCCAGATTTGAACTTCTGCGGTGTAGCACTCTATAAGGTGCGCGGTGTGCCTATAAGTCTTAGTGGGGGGAGTTGTGGGGACTCCGGTGTTGAAGTTGCCGATGCTCTCATCGTGTCATGACGTATCATCATTTTCCTGTTCCGCTGGACGAGCTGAAGGCTGAAGCTGCTGAAGTAGTCCCGGTAGTCAATGCGTACTTCGGTCCTCATGGACGACTTCCCAACCAGGTAGGTAACCACAAAAAACTCATCGAGTATCAAAAGAGTCAAATCCCTCATGTGGTGTATTCGCGAGCACTCCAGAAGAAAGAAGTCACATCTGGTCTCCAGCCAGCGAGGGAGTGGTTATTGAAGACTGAGTCCTCAAAAAAACTGTTCCAACCTTAAAGTGGCAAAGAGTTTATCTGTTTCTGTCAATAGTCATCTATATTTTCATCAACATGGCGGATATGTGGCAAGAACTTAAGATATCCGCTCATTGGTTGAAAGTTTTCTGTCTCCAACAGTTTCTGTCATGTTCTCTTCTTGTCTGCTGAGGAAAGTGGGTCAAGAGGATTGAGGCGTGAGAATAGACTCGGCATTCCTCATGTTTTCCCTGGTCGTCGCGAATCTATAATAAGTGGTTCTCCCTCTGATCCAAAAATCCTGTCTTAATTTTTTGTGGTCATCAAGGCTTGCTCTTGCGGCTAAATATCGCTGACCTTATTTCGCATCCGAAATGCACCAGGGAGTCGTATCATCCTCTGATAAATTATCTGAAAGTCCAGAAAGATCTCACTGGTCAGTGGCCTAACTCCATTGCCAAGCATTTTTTTTTTTGAAAACCAAATTATGCAAAGATTTATTCCCGTAAAACTTGTTGCCTTCACAAAAAGCTGGTTGTTCAATCATACCAGATGACCCAGCCAAGGAGAATCTTAGAAGGTGAGTCTTACAAAGAAGCTTTTCAGCGGAGAGAATAACACTTAAATCTTCTATCAAATACAATGAGTGAGCACACAACTTATTATAAGTTTCATGAGAGTTTCTGGATGTGAAATGTTTTTAAGACTTTTTTCATAATCTTAAAAGTTCAAACAGATGTTTTAGTGATCCTAGTCTACAAACCTAATCATGAGGTGAATCTACATCATATGTTTTTGCAGATTTTAGAAATATTAATTGGGCCATCTAAATGGGGCCTCAGGCTCAATCAATCAGGAATCGCTTCAAGGCTTTTCAAACATCATACAATAACTATTCTCTGAGTGAATCTGTTACCCTAGACCATGTTCATTTTTCATGAACTATAATTTTGGTTTTCATTAAAAAAATAAAGATCCAATCATTGTGAGTAAATTTTTTTATTGTTAATAGGGGGTATCAAATATAGCAAATCCACTTATACTAAATGGGTTTATCTTGCATTTTCTGATCATAGAACCATCTTGATGAAACCAAAATTCAACTTTCAGATAAATTGACACTGAGAAATCAGAAACTGATGAGTTTTTTTGAGATTAAAGTGTGTGTAAGTGGCGCAGGAAATTGTTACAGCAGCTATGATCTGATTCTGTGGGATTTGAAAATGATCATGTTGTAAGATCACTTGAAAATTTCACCCTAAAAGTATGAGAACATGATCAAAACAAGAGTCCATTTTTTCGTCAGTGATTGTGAAGGGTCCAGGTAAAGTGAAAAAGAACATTAAGAATCCAAGCCTATGATTTGTTTGAATTAGAAATCAAAACCCATTGGCCAGTATCAAGTCTTCGATCAATGAGGTGCATACTGACTCGCTGGCACCGTCTTACGTAATCCGACTGGCTTCCCCGCCCAGTCTTCCAGTAAGCCAACTTGGAGACCACCACCACCACCAGCCAGCCAGCCAGCCAGCCAGTACCCTGTTGCAACCTCAGTCGAACTGGACCAAGAAAGAACAAAAACCATCCACATCGATCAACCAACAAGCTACAGAGGAAGTATCGGAGGACTGCAAGGAAAACCATCAGAACATGTCATTCAAGAAGGATGAAGAAACCGGGGGTGAGTGGCCATCTCTTCTCCTCCACGTTGTTAGCCTACCTCGGTAATGAGACTGAACAACTCTCGACTTATCCCAACGCAGTGGCCCATTTCATGCAAGATAAGACGACGGTCATCCAGGAAGCGAGGGTGTTCAATGAATCGCCCATCTCCCCCAGAAAATGTCGAATCCTTTTAACCAAAATCATCTACCTACTCTATGTCGGTGAAACTTTCGGCCCTCAAGAGGCTACCACCTTATTCTTTGGTGTCACCAAACTCTTTCAACACAAGGATGTCAGTCAAATCTTCAGATTCTTCAAATCACTGGTTACCACTAGACTGAACTTGACTGATTGCTGTGCTTGAACAACAGAGTGCCTTGAGACAAATGGTGTACTTGGTCATCAAGGAACTCTCCGATCTGGCACAAGATGTGATCATGGTAACCTCATCGATCATGAAAGATATGCAGCCGAATCTAGAGGTGATCTATCGGCCGAATGCGATCAGAGCGCTCTGCAGAGTGATCGATGGATCGATGATCCAGGGTATCGAACGATTTTACAAGTCGGCGATCGTCGATCGAAACTCATCCATCAGCTCAGCCGCACTCGTTTCTTCCTATCACCTCTTCCCGATCGCCAAGGATGTGATCAAACGATGGGCAAACGAGGCTCAAGAGTCGCTCAACGCCAAAGGATCCGGTGGCGGTGGTGGCTTCATCCCTGCCAGCGCCTCAAGCTATCTCAGTAGCTTCGGTGGAGGGGGTGGTCAAACTCAATCCGGCTATCAAGCCGTCGCGAGTTCCAGTTATATCACTCAGTATCACGCTTTGGGACTCTTGTATGCTATCAGACAGCAAGATCGAATGGCTGTCTCCAAGCTCATCCAACAGCTGGGTGGGGGAAAGAGTAACACTCTCAGAAGTCCTTATGCCCTTTGCATGCTGATTCGATTTGCCAGTAAGATCATGGACGAAGACCCCAAGTTTGTGCTGCTTTCTGTGCATCTCTCTATCTTCTTTTTAGTAGCTCTCACTCATCATCCTACCGATTTGTTTCCGTTCTTTCACCAACTAGCCTACACAAACAGATGCACGAACTTCTTGAAGGGTTCTTGAGACATAAATCTGATATGGTCAACTACGAGGCCGCTCGTGCAATCTGCGAGATGCGCAACGTGACTTCAGCTGAATTATACCGCCCCGTGGCCGTCCTCCAGCTGTTTTTATCTTCTCCTAAGGGCGCGCTCAAGTTTTGCGCTATCAGAACGCTGGCCAAGTTGGCCTTAACCCATCCACAACCGGTTCAAGCCTGTAACCTCGATATGGAAAGATTAATTAATGATGACAATAGAGGTGTTGCCACTTTTGCTATCACCACATTACTCAAAGTAAGCCTTTTTTTTCTTAATCAGGCTCACATTAGTTTTGGTCGAGCATCTAGACGGGACAATACTGATGCACATTTTCTATCTAGACTGGAAATGAAGCATCAGTTGATCGTCTCATGAAACAGATCTCGGCCTTCATGTCAGAAATCTCGGATGAATTTAAAGTAACGATCGTCAATGCTATTCGAGCGTTATGTCTCAAGTTCCCCGCTAAACAAGCAGTCATGTTGAACTTCCTCTCTGGAATCTTGCGCGATGAAGGCGGCTACGATTTCAAACGGGCTGTGGTTGAAGCTATTTTTGACATGATCAAGTTCATTGGCGAATCCAAAGAAACTGGTAACCCTCATACCTACCATATATCTTTCTTATTATCATTTTGTCACGCCTCGGGTTTTTACTAACCGAGATATTCGTTATCTTTCTTTCTGCTTTAGCTTTGGCTCAACTTTGTGAATTCATTGAAGATTGCGAGTTCACTAAGCTATCAGTTAGGATCTTACATCTCTTGGGAATCGAGGGTCCTAAAGCGCTTCACCCTTCAAAATACATTCGATACATTTATAACCGAGTTATCCTAGAAAACGCGATTGTAAGGGCGGCTGCGGTGTCAAGTCTAGCCAAGTTTGGTGTTAATGTGCCCGACCCTAGAGTTAAAGCAAGTATTAAGGTACTCCTGACAAGGTCTGTATTGTAAACTCTACAACTTTTGTTTTCTATTGTTTGTATATTTACTCGTAAAACCTTCTTCATTAGGTGCTTGGACGACGTGGATGACGAAGTCCGTGATCGGGCAGCGCTATATCTCAAGGTCTTAGATGAAGAACCACTGGCCGAAAAATTTGTGAAAGATGGTAAGCCTTCCTGCCATTCCAGAGTCTTTTAACATCTGATGCAATGTTCACACCTTCCGATCGATCCGATCGTCGCTGTTATTTCTAGAATCTACGATCTCTCTTGCCACATTGGAATCGAAGTTAACCACTTATATTTCCCAAAAGGAGTCGTCTCAAGCCCCTTTCGAAATATCGAGTATCCCGAGGATCAGTCGTGAACAAGCTTGTCAAGAAGCTCTTCGTGCGCACTTGTTTGTTGTCTTAATTCGTTTATTTCGTTGGCTGATTTGGAAGACCTTTGCAAAACAGGTGCTCGCCAAGAAGCCTCATCAGATATGGCTGGTTTCAGCAATGCCAGCAAAACCACTGACAAACAGTCGGTCGGACCTGCGGCTTCTGCCTCAACAAACGCCGAGAGTCAGCGCGAATATGCTACCCAACTTAGTGCTGTTCCAGAATTCTCAACTTATGGCAAAGTGTTCAAAAGCTCTGCTAAGCCAATTCCTCTCACCGAACATGAAACCGAATACGTCGTTAGTGTTGTAAAACATATATTTGCTGAGCATGTGGTATTTCAGGTAATTCTGCTGCTTTTGACTCCTCCCAGGGAAATTGAGACTGACGATAAAGGAAAAATTTATCTTACTCCCAATATACAGTTCAACTTGACAAACACACTACCAGACACAATTCTAGAGCAAGTATCAGTGCTGACAAACCCGCCCGAGGAAGGATTGACTGAGGATTTCATCATTCCGATCCCCAAGATGTCGAATGAGCCGGGGATAATCTACGTCTCTTACACCCGTTCAAGTCCTGAAAACTACGCGCTCGGTAGCTTTAACTGTACCCTGAAGTTTATCTCCAAGGAGGTCGATCCGATCAGTGGCGAGCCGGAGGAAGAGGGCTATGAGGATGAATATCAAATCGAAGACGTCGAATTGGGCGTGGGTGATTACATCATTCCTACGTATCTTACCTTCACTACTGAATGGGATAGACTACGAACCGGGGCAACTGCGACTGAAACATTCCAATTGAGCGCATTGAAAAGCTTGAAATGTGAGTGTGATATCTGGATCCTTAACGACAAAGGATCGGGTCCCAAAGAGAAAGATTACTGATTAATGTCATGTTTTTTAGCTGCATGTGATACACTTATCGAACTATTAAACATGGAGCCGTTGGGAGGGAGCGAGAATCCAAGTTCGACGACGGTCCATACACTTCAATTGGCAGGTATTCTGTGCGGAGGAGAAGGGAACATCTTGGTCCGAACTCGGATGACGTTTAGTGTCGATCAAGGAGTCACCATCGAGATGTCTGCTAGAGCTGAGAAACCAAAAGCAGTCCAACTCGTCATGTCGGCTATTGCTTGACAGCTTCCAAGTTCTCTCTTAAAAAACACAACAAAAACCCGCGGCTTATCGTCTCTTCTCTCTTCAATTTCTTCCTTCACGTTGGTTCTTTTTGTTTGGTATGGCTCTCTACATTACTGTTTCCATTGGCATCCTGTTTGATATACTTGTGTCCTCTTTTCTTCCTAAACCTCTTCAACCCGCCTTTCTTTTTCTTTTTTGTTATTTTTATGAATACATAGAAGTACTGCCTCCTCTTTTTTGCCTCCGCCTCTCCAGCTACGTACCGTCTATCTCACCGACGTATTTACTCGTAGTTATAGGATTCATGGTGATGCCGGTGCTGCTGCTGCTGGTGGTGGATTTATGCTTGGTTCTTCTTTTTGTTTCTCTGTGGTAATTGCTTAATGAGGAAATCCAAAATACTTGATCACAGAAAACAGAAGATTCAAGTTGATGATTACTCAATGAGTTCGTAGATCATCTAATCAGGACCTGAAGCAATACTATCATGATGTGTTGTTTGTTGGTGAAATCCAAACATCTTGAAGAAGATTGACTTGGCCGATCACTAGTTGTGCGATCTATGATCAGGCCGCCCGAATTGTCTCGTTTCTTTGGAAGGCAAGGAGCAGCAGGTAAACTACTGTGGTCTCTCCTCATGATGGTCTCATTTCTTGTAAAACTGCACAGTTTTTCTACACATTGTACAACCTCACCATACCATGAGTCACATTGAACTTATTGCCTACATCTTTTTGTCATTTGGTCACAAAAGTGCAATCAGGACAATTTTTAAGCTTCATTCTCCTTGATGACATAGTACAAACTGTCCTGGTGGCAGCGGTTGGCTGCTGCGCTTTTGGCCCAAAAAGCGTAGCATAGCGGCACTTTTTTTTCCACCAAAAACCGCAGTGTTAGCGGTTTTTTGCTACGCTACGCTGCGCTACAGCGCTTTTAGCGGAAAAAGCGGCCAAAAACCGCTAAAAACCACTGTAGCGCAGCGTAGTGGGCCCTTTTTTGCGGCCCACACGCGTAGCGTTAGCGGTGGGTGCTCGGAATTCCGCTACGCTACGCTAATTGCTAACAGAGATTCCGCTGCGTTACGCTACACTAACCGCTACGGTTAGTGTAGCGGCCCACCGTTGCTGGTGGGGTTGAACACAACTCCATGTATTTCTGAGTGGCAATTATTGGTTGATAGTGGCCCAAGAATATCAACGGCCATGGAGATGCTCTTGAAATGCTTTTTGGTAACCATCATGTTCCAGAAAAGGCTCTGCTGATTTTGAATTGCTGATGTCAACTCTTCATTAAATTTGATTGTGGAATTTGGCTTTGAAGGAAGATAGTTTTAACAAAGGGACTTGGTCAACCGACTCCCAAAAATTGGAGAGTCGACTCCCAAACCCGGGTTTCCCCGAAATTTGGGAGTCGATTCCCCAAATCCATCCTTGGGTTTGGGAGTCGGTCCCCAAAAAAAAATTAAATAAAAAAAAAGAAAAACCCCGGAGGGGTTGGGTGTTGATGCCCCAAAACCAAGTGGTTTTGGGGGGTCGGTGATCAAAAAAAAAAATCAGTGGCCGGGAGGATTCCTCCCGGCCGCGGAGAGTGCTCTCTTGACGGCCGAGAGAGTTTCTCTCAGCCGTCGAGGGTCTACAACCTCAACGGCCGAGAGGGTTTCTCTCGGCCGTTGAGTATAACCCTCAACGGCCAAGAGTTTCTCTTGGCGGTGGGCGGCGTGTACACCTCAACGGCCGAGGGAAACTTCTTGGCCGTCGAGACCTCTGTTGAGGGTATACACTCTCGACGGCCGAGAGGATTCCTCCCGGCCGTCGAGGGTTTACATTCTCAACGACCAAGAGGAAACCCTCTCGGTCGTTGAGGTGTGCACCCTCAATGGCCGAGAGCTTTCATTCGGCCGTTAGGGTGTACAGCCCTCGACGGCCGAGAGGTTTCTTTTGGCCGTTGAGGGTTATACCCTTATGTAACGCCCGAGAGAAATTCTCTCGGCCGTCGAGAGCAAGCCGCTTGGTTTTTTTTTTTTGATCACCGACCCCCCAAAACCACTTGGTTTTGGGGCATCGACACCCAACCCCTCCGGGGTTTTTCTTTTTTTTTAAAATTTTTTTGGGGGACCAACTCCCAAACCCAAGGATGGATTTGGGGAATCGACTCCCAAATTTCGGGGAAACCTGGGTTTGGGAGTTGACTCTCCAATTTTTGGGAGTCGGTTGACCAAGTCCCTTAACAAATTACATGAAACCTCTTGTTGTTTGAGTAACATAAATTTTGTAACTACTTTCAAAATCTGTTAATGTTACCTGAAATGGAGAAATTATCACTGGAGGAATTCCTGTTGGTTTTACAGCTAGAATTACAGCAGCGGTGGGCCGCTACGCTACGGGCCCATGTAGCGTTAGTGTAGGGGCGCCATTTTTTTGCGTAGGCTAATTTGTAGCGGCGCTAACACTAACCATTTTTTCCGCTGGCGCCGCTACGCTGTGTTACGCTACGCTACAGCTTTCTTAGCGGCAAAAAACACCTCAAAACCGCTAGAAATCACTGTAACACAGCATAGCGGGCAATTTTTGGTGGCCTGTGCGTGTAGCGTTAGCGCAGATGGGGGGAATTGCTCTAACGCTACACTAAAAGTTAGCACAAGTTTTCGCCCCATGCGCGTAGCGTTAGCGCAAAAAATCAAAAAAAGTGCTAACACTACGCTAAATTGTAGCAAAAAATTGCTACAATACGCTACACTAATGCTACAGTTAGCGTAGCTGGCCTACCGTTGATTACAGGCTTTAAAGTTAAATTCTTGCTGGGACAATAGCTTTTAAGTGTGTAAATTTGGATTTACAAGGGGCTGTACATTTGGAGGGAAGTCCTTTGCTGGGGGAGTTCCCATTTGTTTTTCAGCCCCTACAAAGCTATATAAACAGCACACTGAGTTCTTAGCTGATTTCTGTCAGAACCAAGCTACATGATCAGTTTTCAGGAATAGTTAGCCTCCATCTTGGGACCACCTCCATGAGTCCATTCCCAAGGAACTAATCACACAACAATCACTCCTCAACTCCTTATTTAGCCATATAATTGCCTCCCAATTTCAAGATGAAGGCCATTGGTACTGCCAGGATGATCAACTTGTAAGGATGACAATTGGTGGGAAATGGGCTTCCCATGGACTAGCCCAGATTGAAAGGCTGGGCCAGTCTATAATCCTCAAGTCTGCTATCTGGACCAAGCTTGTTTCCAAAATGTGATGGACACAGGCAAGCAGTACCCAGCTGAGCTACCAATCTAGTGGGCTCTAGCAGATTCTGAGTGTTACCCCCAGGCAGCCTCATCCAACAGGTCATTTACTTCATGTTCTGGGTTGCATAATGAGTTGCAGTTTCTTTTATAGACAATAAGTAGTTATTCAGACTCAGAGAAGTGGGGAGGACAGATTTTCTATGTTTTGGTAAGTAAGTAGATAAGAGGGATAGTCCAAATATCTGGTTGGATGGGTATGTGTGTTCTAAGCGCTATTAGTTCAAAGAGATGCCAATTGGATGTGTTTCATGAAGCTGGATAAAAATAGAGATGGCTGCAGGGTATCCGTTGTGGATACCCGCTATCCCCTGGCGGATACCCACTATCCGCTGGCAGATACCCACCAGGGGGTACAGATGGCCGCTTTTCCCGTCAAACCTGGGGGATATCTGTGTATCTCCAGGGATACCTGAGGCCAATAGTATGAGAGTGGCCGACTGGAAGGGTTTCTTTCCAGCCATGTACCTTGCCAACCATTTAAAGGGCAGTTATCCGCGGATACCCGCTGTGGCCACTGGATACCTGCCAGTGGATGCGGATGCGGATGCAAATGTCCAATTCTGCTAAAAAAGGGAGGGGATATCCGGATGCAACGGGGCCATCTCTAGATAAAAACTGTATGTGTGTGTTAAAGCCAATTGAAGTTTGATAAGAAGTAACAGGAAGTCCTCCACTATTTCTATTAGGGGTTATCAGAAACAGCGGTGGGCCGCTATGGGCCCATGTAGTGTTAGCGTAGCGGCGCCAACAGCTGCTTTTTTTTCTTAGTGTTAGTGCGCCACTACTGCCTCTGCGCTACACTGATTTGTAGCAGTGCTAACACTAGCCATTTTTTGGTGTAGCCTTAGCGCCCCTCTAGCGCCGCTACCCTGTGTTACGCTATGCTACAGCGTTTTTAGCGGCAAAAAACACCTAAAAACTGCTGTAACGCAGTGTAGCGGGTCGTTTTTTGTGCCCTGTTTGCATAGCCTTAGCGCAGATGGGGGGAATTGCGCTAACGCTACACTAAACGATAGTGCTATTTTGCGCCCCATGAGCGTAGCATTAGCGGAGAAAATGAGAAAAAGTGCTAACGCTATGCTAAATTGTAGCGGTTTTTTGCTGCACTAACACTACAGTTAGCATAGCTGGCCCACCGTTGTCAAATATATGTTAGAATTTCACTTTTAAGCCCCTCGTTTTTCCTCACTTCCATCTAAATATGCATGTAGTTTTCTCTTGATTTCCCACAACTCAGCCCACATCCTGTTGGCCTAAGCTTCCAATTCTATTTTTTTATCTCACCAAGGCTCTTTATATATTTTTATCATGTTATCATTTAGCCTGTAATTTGGAATGGCCACAGAATTGGCTCTGTCAATCTCAGACTGAACAATCCCAGTCCAGGTCCACTTCTGCATCCTCAGCAGTCTTTTCACCATATATGGTGCTACCCTCATACAACTTTGGTACAATTATCAATAGTGTAGTATAGTGACCCACTGTTGTAAAACCTTTCCCCAATTTAGCAAACTGGTCATTCAAAATCCAAGGAAGCTTGCATTGTCACTCAAACTCTATTAAAAATTATTCTAACCTAGACACCTGCAGTGTGCATTGCACTATAACTTATAATGCAGTTCCTGGGAGTGGAGTCAGATTACACCCATCCTGTACCCTGAGCTCTGCCCTGGTTTTTCCAGATCTCTTACAGGTCAAATTTGTTTGGTGTCACTTAAGATGTATCAAAAGAATTGGTTAAATGTTCTAAAATCACAACCAACATCCTGAATTTTTGACCAGGTGGTCCCCATCAGGCCCCCCTTCCTCCCAATACCTGCAAGCTCTTAGTATTCAGCTGGAGCCTGGATATCAGATTTTCTCTGTCCAGCCCCAAACCTTTCAATTTATTGGGTCCAGACTACTTCTGTTCTTCCTGATCTACAACACTGCAAATGTGATTATATCAGATTCCCACATCTGGCATTACATCAGATGAAAAAAATCTGATTTTAGATCAGGCAAAACTGGTATTATATCTATCAGGAGTGATATTATATCTACCTAGAATCATGTTGTATCTATCAAAACAGATATTGCATCAGCCCAGCCTATTTATTGTCAAAATAACTGATTTTATATCAGATTTTTTACATCTGATACAGATTTTTAGCCCATGGGCATTAAATCAGATAGAAAAATCTGATATGAATTCAGTTATGCTGACATTGAATAGGCTGGTCTGATGCAATATCTTTCATGATAGACACAATATCATTTTAGGTAGATATAATATCAATTCTGGTAGATACAATCCCAGTTTTTCCTGATGTAATATCAGGTATTTTTATCTGATGTAATGCCAGATGTAGCAATCTGATACAATCACTTTGGCAGTGCAAGATCCAGTTTACCTGTCATCCATTGAAGTGGTATCGACATATGAGTTGAGCAACTGTACAGTGGGTAGACAGTGAAAAGTGGCTGCTTATTTTAGATTCCAGAGCTCTGAAACACAGAATTGAAGTCATGAGACTTGGTCAGGTGGTGCATAATAGGTCCCCAAAAATGAATATGAAGAAATAAAGGGTGTTAATAAAAACACGCGGTAAATCCGCGTTTACACGCGGTTTCTGCTGCGCGCAGCACACGCCGATTCCGCGTGTACACACGGTTTTTTATTTAATTTTTTACCACTTATTTTTTGAGTTTTTTTGAATTTTTAAAATTGTTTCCTATGTTTTAAAGCATGTAGAATTGAATGGTAAAAACCATTTTTGATAAAATGACTTGATTATTAATTTTTTTTCCCACTCATTTTTTCAATTAATTGTTTGCATTAATGTGTTTACCTTATTTTTTATTTTATTTTTAAAATTTTAAATTTATTTCCTACATTTGAAAATGTGTAGAACTTAATGGTGAATTCCAATTTGCCTGAAAATAAAAGCTTCAATCTTAATACATGAGTGTACCCCGTGTCTTGCATCATTTGTACCGTATACAAATTTTATTTGAATGCAAAATTAATACAGCCATCAAATCCAAAACCTTTCAAAGTGTAGGAAATGAACTTAAAATTCCATAAAATAAGGATTATTAAGTGTGTAAGAATTAATTAAAGAAACATGTCAAATGCAGTATTCAAGATATAGTTTTCATTTTGATGCAAATTCATTGTTACTATAATTTTATACATGTTTGAAATTGTAGGAAAAAAATTCAAAATGTCAAAAAATAATGAAAATTAAGCTGTTAAAAATCAATTGAAAAATATGACTCATTACAGTATTCAGTATGAACTGTTGAATTTTATGGAAACTGAATGTTACCATTAAATTCTGAGCATATTCAAATGTAGGAAAAAATTTTAAAATTCCAAAAAAGCATAAAAGATAGGGGCTTGGTTTAAACGACTCCAAAAAGTGGAGAGCAGGGTCCCAAGCCCCGGAATCCCCAAATTTTGGAAGTCTCCTACCGCCAAACCTTTGACTGGTTTG